TGAGTATTGTGAGCGCACAGCCTGTGCATCTGATGTCCCTGCTCTCCAGCATGATGCAGACCCAAAGATGCTTGGGAAATGTTGAACAAATCAAACAGTTTGTTAGGCCCTTTGCCTCTTGATTTGAATGGCAGGAAGAGGTATAATCAGCCTTCAGATCAAGGCATTTGGTTCTGAAGCTGATGGTCCTTACCATTACCCGCAGAACAATGCCTGTTACATATCATCCCAATGTGTAGATTCATTATAGAAGATTAATTCAACAGTTTCTCAGGGAGATCCTCACTGGTCTGAAAGTAGAGCTGGCAGAATATCATCCAGTCCAATGAAAGGCCATGACATGACATCAACAACAATTTACAACACTATGGAGTTAATTGACATGGTATTGTATGACCAATATGTTAGAAAATACAAGTTCTTAGTCACATCCTGTGACTACTTCATTGAATTTATCTGGACAATAAGAGGCAGGACTCTATGCATGGTACATGTTTGCAATGAAAGAATCATGACTGGACTTGAACTGCACTACTGAAACTATTGGAGGATTCCAACACGGGGGGGAGGGTATGGGGAGAGGTTGGGGGAATTCCAGAGCCTATGAAACTGTGTCATAAAATGAAATTTTAAAAAATTTCATGATAATACACACACACACGCAAAAAGAAGACTATATCCTTTAGCCAGAGTTTAAAAGTTTTCTCCAATTTAGGCACAATCAGTTTCACCAGCCGATCTTGAAACATGCTATTGATCACATAGATGTTTCACTCTATATTTTTATGCCTTTGTATGTCGACATTCTCTTCATTAGCAATGACCACAGCTTTCTACTGCGTTCTGATTTCAAGTCTCCATTAGGACAATCTGAAAGACCTGCTCAAAGACGAAGGCTTCCTCAAATATTTATATTCCTGTTTCTGGATGTGCTCTATTTTTCTAGATTCACAATGAGCATTTGGCTGAACTTTGATTTGGTAACATGTCACATTCTGTCCTATGTATGATAAAACATTGCAACTGGGTACATATCCCCAATAGACTAAAATGACATTTGACAATTAGATCCATGTCTTTCTTAAGGACCATCTAATAGAAAATCCATGACATAATAGAAACTTGGAAATTTCCCACAGGAAAAAAAATTTCTCCTGGAATAATCCTGGCACTAACTTGTACTTTACTCTCAGTTTTTTTTTGCATAAAAGAATACCTATCCTTTATTTTCTAATTTCTCAAAACCAGTCTCCACAAACATTCTCCTAAATATACAGCCTGACTAACTCTCACTAACTCCTGAAGTGTAATGTCCAAATGTACACACTTAGATACTGGTTTCTAATCCAGCTCACCAAGCTATTGTTACTGGGCAATTTACTTAATAATTCTGTACCTTCACTTCCTGACTTGGAGATGACGATAATGTCTATTTTATACACTCTGTTTTCCTAGAAGGATGAACTGGTTAATTTCTGACAATGGACATAAAATACTGATGTACAGAGATGACTTAATATAAGCCATTTTTCTGCCTTCTCTTTCATGGTTAGTAATCTTCACTTGTTAACAATTATTTGCCCCTGGGTGACATATGCCCTACTGTGGCTAGGAACTGAAGTTTAAGATTCATTAATTAATTTTTAATGGGCATATCTTATATTCTTAAATCAAATGAAAGCCCCAAGAGCATTGGACAACTCTGATTACTGAGTATGAGCCTAATACCAGTATGTGTTTGAGTGCTCTCTGTATGTATTTTACTCAGTAAGAGTATAGGTTTTACATCCCCCTCCATAATTATAGATTTTAAAAGAAGATATAGAGGGGCCATGCACCATAGTCCAATGGCTATAGTTCTCACCTTGAATGCATCAGGATCCCAGCTGCTCCACTTCCCATGCAGCTCCCTGCCCATGGCCTGGAAAGCAGTGGAGGATGACCCAAAGTCTTTGGACCCTGCACATGTGCGTGAGACCCAAAAGAAGCTCCTGGCTTTGGATTGGTTCAGCTCTGGCCATTGTGGCCACTTGGAGAGTGAACCACTGGATGGAAGATCTTTTTCTCTGTCTCTCCTTCTCTCTGTCAATCAGACTTTCTAATAATAAACAAACAAATAAATCTTAAAAAAGAATAGAGAATAAGATATTTGCTCACATTTCCTATGCTTGTACATAGTAGAGAGGACAATACTTAAAGGAAAAGATAATTTATAGTTGTTTCCCTCTTTGTTCACAATGTTTATTCATTAACACAATTACTATCTGAATTGAATTTTCCTTATTGCTGTATTTAGCTGCTATCATATAGCAGAAAATATATTTAGTAAATTAGATTAGCTTTTCATTTAACAAAACCTGGTAGAGCCTTCATTATTTACATTTTTAAATTTTTGCTATGGAAAAAATTTCCTAGACTTAATGATGCAATTCTGATATGTTTTAATTTCAGTATAGACCTTGGTGAGTTACTTATTTTGCTTTACTCTGCTTCAAGTACTTGTGATGATGACTACCAGCTTATTATACCTTGACTGTTATATATCTTTAGATTAACACTGTTTTTACACTGAACATACTAGTGTTGAAAGAAATGTCAGAAAAAAAAAATAACTGCTCCTCAGCCCTTATGGATTAAGATGGGAAATGGGTCTGGGCAGATGAAGGACTTGCTGATACTGCACAGACAACAAGGGGCAGAGAAAGGAACAGAATCAGACTTTTTTAGTCCAGGCAGATATTTTCAGTAAAAATACATGGCAATCCGCGTTCAAAATGAGTGCTGTGTTTTTACATCCTAATACTTTCCACTTTTTATATTGTGTGGCTTTAGAACAGAGCCCTTAGTTACCGTCATTACAGTTCTAGTCTCCAACAGGTTGCGGGCAGGAATCCGTTTTTACCATGAAATATTTGAATAACAAAGTTTAAATAGTTTATATTAAATAAATCTCATAAAGCAATTCCTGATGATGCTGATAACCTTAAAAATTTTCAGCCACTACAAAGATTTATGGCCTAAAATGTGATACTCAAATACACACATGGCCAATGTATTCTGACCAAAAAAGAGTGGTCAGCACTTCTCATTTTTTGATGTTATTTTATTATTGGAAGCTTTGAGCTTTTTTCTTCCATTTGTTGGTACAATAGCAACAAAATTATTGTGTGCTATTCTTTACAGTGTGAGTGTGACGCTACAAATTTATTCTTTGTATCTAATTTTGATTTGTTACCCAGTATTCAAATTGTTTCCATCCTCATGCCAATCTTACAATTACCTTCTCTGTTCAGCCTGAGTTGCTTTATTTTTAGTAAAGCAGAACATGTGGTATTTGTCTTTATTCACTTAACATGACGTCCTTCAATTTCACTTATTTTGTTACAAATGACAGGATTTCATTCTAGTTTTTCCTGTGGGAGAGTACTCCATCGTATATGTAACCACATTTTCATCTTGAATCAATCTGATGATGGATACCTTTATTTCCTATCTTCTCTGTAAATGATGATGCAAAAATCATGATAGAATGATTTCTCTTAGATACAATAATGTCATGATTTGTTGAACATATATCCATTAGTGGTATTGCTGGGTCAATATGGTAGTTCTATTTATAGTTTTAAAACAAATGTCCAATTTTACAGTATATAGACCTAACTGTTTTTTGACATAGATGCCAAGAACATACATTAGAAGAAGGATTCTGTGAAATACTGTAGACAAAACTGGATATTCATTAGTAACTAGATTCCTACCTTTCACCCTATTCAAAAATGAACTCATGATGCATCAAAAACTTAAATTGAAGACTTGCAACTAAATTTTCTGTATGGAAACATAGGAGAAACACTTCAAGAGAAACACCTCAAGAAGTTGGTATACGCAGAGGTTTATTTTGTTTGTTTGTTGTTTGTTTGTTTTTGCTAAAACCTGAAAAGCACACTTAACAAAAGCAAAATAATTGGCACTATATCCAACTCAGAAGCAAAATATAGAGGCTTCTGACAGAAGAGGAGAATATGTGGCAAGCTACTTATTCAATAAAGGATTATTGTCAAGAATATATCAGGAACCTGACAAGCTCAATAACAACAAAAACAATTAATCCAGTTAAGAAGTAGTCAAGGGACCCGACTAGACAGTTCTCAAAAGAGGAAACAGAAATGGCTAGAAAAAAATGCTAAATTTCACTAGCTGTCAGGGAAATGCAAATCAAAACCACAATGAGATATCACCTCACCCCTGTTAGAATGGCTCTTATCAAAAAGGCAGAACATGAAACATACTGGCAAATGCATAAAGAAAAGGGAATTCTTATATACTTTGATGGGAATGGAAATCAGTATAGTCATTATGGGAAACGACATAGAGTTCTCTTAAAAAAAAAACTAAAAAGAAAACTTCTAAAATTTGGTACACTCTTACATCTCACGTCACTTTCCAGGTAGATAAATAACTAATTCTGTGCTTATCTCATTTTTTCTATATAATTGCAATCCCCCTGAGGACAGGCTTTTGAGTCCACAGTGCAGTGTGTCATGATTTTCATATGAAGATTTAGAAACACATTAGTGGACTGCACAGGTAAACTATCCACAGTAATTCAGTTTGGAGACAGGCAAATCTAAAGACACTTCCTTCCTTGGGATCAGGGAAAAAGTTATAGTTTATACAATACTCAGTTCCACATTTCGTGCAATCATTAAATCCATGTACGCAGAAACCCAATTTCTATATAATAGGAAGCGAATGTGTTGCTAAATACCCTGAAATCAAATTTGTATCTCAGCAAATGCTGAGGACCACTGCTATTTCATCATAGGTAAGCACATATCAGGTTCATGACAGTCTAGCAATGCCATTCCCATTGCACGTGCATGCACTTCAACTCCCACACATATGAACGCTCATTGTTCACTAGTGGAGTTGATAATGCTCCTCATGGCTGAGTTAGGGAAACCGACTTCCGTCAGAAGTCTGCTCTAGATTCCACTCACCAAAGTATTCCTCGGAAGGCGGATTGTCCATGTCATACAGCATCTTCTTGGTCAGGTGCTCAAGCTCATCCTCAGGACGAAATGAAGTGGGGGCAGATGCAGGCCCCATTGAAACTGAGTGTCCTCCCTGAAAGACAGAAAGGATGTTGTTAAATAAGTGCAATCATCTAACAACCAGAGCAATCAGCCAGAACAAGTCATGTTCACAATGGATTGTAAAAATGATTGGACTTTTGCTGTTAGGAGACCTGAGTTTTAGGACACATCACTCTGTTCATTTGCCTAGCAGATGATTACAGCATTAGTACTCCATTTTGCTCAACAAATACTAAGAAGTCATTACAAACTAGTTGCATATTTATTTTTTTAATAAAAGAACGATGAATTCATCCTTTCCTTTTCATGAACCTTATAGTCAACTGGGAGATATACATATATAAATGGTTAATGAGAAAAATAGTTATAGAAAGCGCACAAGCAAAGTGTTGATGGAGACTTTTTCATGCATCCTGAGAGAAAGATTTCCTGAGAAGAGGCAACAGTGCGGATCAGAACTTTTTCCAGTTGAAGAATACGGACGATGGGGTTGTTTCTCATGTTTAGATTACAGAAAGGAAGCATCAAGAACTCCTGACACTTGTGTTTTTCTGGACCACATATAAAGCTTGAGGTAGAAAGCGAGATAAATCTTATCAAGAGCAGGGGCCCAGAAAATGAAGGGCCTTTTGTTCCAGTGAAGGAAGTTGAGTAATTCTTTTCCCCTCAGCACTGTTAACAGTCAGATATTGAACAGGATGGTTAGTCAGTGCCATTGGTACTAGGCTGGTGGGTGAACCAAAGAATAGCAATGTAAGAGAATCAAAGGTCAGATGAGAGAACACTTAAGATAATCAACCAATGATATAAATGCATAGAAAATGGAAAAAACATCAGTTGTTAGGTGAAAAATTAATTTTGTGTTATTTAAGTTGTTATTTAAGAGAATTTGTCATATTTCCCTTTGTCAACACTGTGACTTTGACTATTTCTAATATCCTGTTACAACATACATAATCAAAGTGTTATAAAAAAGACACAATTATTAAAAGCTTAGAAATGATGATATCCACAATGGCCAATGGGCACAGATATCAACAGGGGATGATTTGACCTTGATGGTTATGCATTCTTGAAATAATTGGCTAAGAGTTTCTTGTGTCAGAATAGTGTACATGAGTCAAACAAACCCAACAACTGCATATTCATTTTCCCATTAATTTCACCCTGCTAAATGAGTTGTCAAATATGAAAATCTTGTTAAAACATCCCTATACATATGTTGCTTTTGTTGCAAAATATTTATCTCAACAAGTACAAGATGGATATTAATCACATGGATGAGGTCTTACGCAGTAAATGTCTTTTATATACATTTTGGCCAGTTAGAACCTATTGGCCTTTTCTGTATAATAATTTTGCATTGTTCTAAAATGTACAGAACTTTGGAGTACAGCTATGTAGAAGACTGAAAGACTGAGCATCATTTATGCTTCTCATTAACATTACTCTTGAATTTTATTTCATTGTTGAAAGATATAGACTGGGGAAGGAAAAGCAGTAAATGATCTGTGGGCTGTGTCTGATGATAAAGGTAAGAAATAAAACTATACACTGGATCTGAGAATTATGATGTCAATTTCTTGACTGTGAAATATGAAATCTGAGACTCAAAAAGACCAGTGTAGGGTTAGTTTTGGTAAAATCACAGCAAGGTACAATCATAGATCCAGTTATTTATTGAAGACATTTTAAAATATAAATTTAGAGAATCCTCTGAACTATAGCCTATATCTGACATTCAGGGCTGTTGTGAGAGTTAAAGGGGCCATTATTTAATTTCTAGTTTATTAGCTTATTCACTCATTCTCACAATGGGAATTTCGTATTACTTGTGTAAGCAGACAAAACAGACATCTTTGCCTTTGGGAGGACAAGAGTCTGATCAGGGTAAGAAACATTTATAGATGATAACTTATTAAAAATGATATATTGGTGTTCATGTGCATGAATGCAAACACTAGACAAGTGATTGGCTGATATTATTAAACTTTAAATTGTACATCGCTAGCAATTCTAGGAAACATTTTTCACAAATACACATAAAATCATTTGATGACAGCTATTTATAGTGGTCATATTTGAGAGAAATGGGACTAAAAAATGTGCTCCTATACATCAGTGAGATCAAGTGACGCAACAATTGACAGTCATATTGTCAATCTCCCTGTAGAAATGTGCAAAGAGGATCAATAGATGTTAATAAGTCAATAAATCCAGCTATAGAATTAATCCTAAATGATTGCCTCATTTTTGTAAAGCAGGTATAGTGTACTTATTTACAAAGAGAAATGACTAAAAGGATAAATGCTGAAGCATTAAGGGGGGAGCTTTTTCTGGCCTGCAGAATCCTAGGGGGCATTTATAAAGTCATAATTCTTTACTTCACCACAGAATGTCTTAACACGACTACTTTGGGTGACAGAGATGCGCTGGATACTACAGAAGTCCTGGAGTAGGCTTCCAACGCAAGTCAGATGAGAACCTCTGAGGAACAGTCACAGCTCAACAGTTCTGTGCTGGTGATTGTGATGGGAACACAACTGGCTCAATGTGTAAGTTTGGAAGGGTGAGCTAATCACCGAGTGGCCCAACTGGATGTCTAGAGTGTTTTATGAGCTAGGGTTCCTAGGCCTTGGATGAAGCCATGGACAACAAAGACGCTGATGATCTATCTAATTCAATTTTTGGTAGAAATGGCATCAACAAAAAAGGGAAAATGTATATGCAGTTTCAAGAAGCTCACGTGCCACCAAGAAACATGACTGAATGTTCTTAAGAACAACAACATGCTAGAAACAATGCTAGGTATCTTTGCCAGGTGCATTATCTAGCAAATCGCAGAAAATTCTTTCTGGAGTATAGGTTAGAAGATAGAGGAAGAGAGTTATGAGACTGGAATAACATAGGGGTGTTCATCATAATATATTCACAGCAGAAATACAAGAGGGATTGTATTGTGACTGGAGGCAGAAATTTAATGATGACACCAAGTGGGTGTCTTTAGGTAAGTTCATGCAAACTTCAGATTTTGTTCTGTACTACGGGTTGCCTATGTATCTGCTGCTCTTTGTCAGAATTAATCTACTTCATATGCTTTACAGAATTTCAGTATTTCATACCAATAAAATGGGTTTCTTGCAAACCCTCCACCTACCTCTGTGGGAAGGGATAATCCCAGTTCAGGTAACAAAATAGAAAAGTATTCTACACCTTTCTGCCAGGTTGGTAAGGAAGGGGAGTTTGACCTGACTACAAATTCTATGCATTTGTTTTGCCATTATTTCCTATACAGAAAATGCTGGTAATGTATAAATAATGTTTAATAATAATTATATCAGCTTCTTTTAATTAAGTGGTCTACTGTTAATGAAAGCCTGATAACTCTTCCGTCCTATCTTAGAGTGAATCTTTAGGGAATGGACACAATTTATCATTATTTAAAGCTAATCCTTCTTGGACTTTTATTGTATATACACGTAGCAAGGAGGCCCAGTCTTTCCTCCATAAACTTAAGCCAGAAGATCAGATTTAACAGTTAGCATTCACATTTGAAACAGAAATTTAATTTTAAATTATCATCATTTTCAGTATTTTTTAATTTTAAGAACAATAGTATCATTACTTTTATTCTCTCACCAGTTTCTATTGGCTCTCTGAAATAATAAGTTTAGAAGATCTTGCTTTCTTTTACATCTTACATTTTATAAGATGCTACACATGGACTCCTTGTATTCCTTAGAAGGAAAAGGCCCTAAGAGATCATCAATGTGTCTTTATTTGGTTATAATATTCCTGCCACTACTTTCATCCCCAGTGTCCAGTACTTAGCACTTTTGTAATACATGTGAATCCTGAACCCTTAGTTATAAGGAGAATTACACCAGTGAGGATAGGAAAGGAATTTGTCTCACTGTTCTGTAGTTTTATTGCTGCTAAAAAGAGAGATAACCCCTATTAATTTATATCTCCTACTTAAACTTAGGACTCGGTATATTGTAACAAAAATTAACAAGCATGCCCAATTAATTTTTAATAAACACCTTCTAGCACAGTAGATGGGTAATAAAACAAATTTGAAAAAATGAGGGGAAGCATTGGATTTATATTATTTTGCTTTTTATTTAAAAGCAAAAGTGTTGCATACATAACAGCACATTCACTGTGGCAAAACATTCCTCAAACTTGCATCACACTTTCCAAACTTTACTGGCATGTAATTGGGAAATATTTACTAAACAGCCCTGCAGGACATGCAAGAGTGAAGACACTGAAGTTCAAGAAAGTAAGCAAGCAAAAATGAATGAAGCATCACTGTTGAAAGAAGGCAGAATCTTACTGAAACCAGGGAATGCTGAGTTTGGTGTACTTTTGCTACATTACAGGGTTTTTAGGGTTCCACCAGCATTCCTCTAAGCCCATCAAGGTCCATTGATGGATTTTATTCTACTGAATCCATTGTCTCTTTTAAGAGTACAAGCTTACTGCTAAACAGTAAAACAAAAAACTACGAAACAAATACAAAGCCTTCAAGCTTTACTAATAATAATAATTTACAAAACCCTTCTTCTAAGTAGCACTATTAATTTCTTATGTGTTCATCAAAAGGTTGGATTTCTTTGCAAAGGCAATAGACCATTATATGATTCATTAGTAAGTTATCAAGTACTAGATTTCATGGGACTCTGTCAAATTTTTCTTAACATTGTCTTCCCTAAGGGATCTGGCGATGCCAAAAATTACGTATAAAGTCAAATTATTTGGAGTTCTGACAAGTCATTGAAAGAAAGGAACACATAAATAGAGAATCCCAATAAAGTGTAAGCAAAAAAGCCATGGCAGGAATCCAGTGATCTGAACTTGGAGAAAGCTACCAGGAAGAGAAGGCACCTTTGTCTGATCTTGCAGGACAAACTAACTGAGAGAGAGAGGAAGAGAGAGAGAAAGAGAGAGAGAGGAAAGGAACAAAGAGTGAAGGAAGGGGAATTGAAAGAGACAGGGAGTAGAAGAATACCTGAAATATTCTAAGAA